ACAAAAGTATATTGATATTAAAGCAAGGATCTAACTCAAATTTATTTTTTATTCTCAAATGTGGTTACGGTTTCAAGGTACCATCATGCCCTAGCTGCTGAATATCTAAACACCATTAAACTACAACAAAACTCTTTTGGCCAAGTGTACATCCATAACTTGCTACCCATGCAAAAGATGTCTCAAACGCTACAAATGTTAAGTATGAATAAAATTTTCTGGATACCAGTACTAGAGGACATACATACTAATCATCATGCATCTGAGCTCAACACTGAAATAACAAATCATTCACTTTATTTTTCAGCCACCAAGAAAATAAAACTGGCAAGAAGAAAACTGTATTTGCGAGAGATAACAAACAAATAAATCTGACAACCATGGGGTCTAGCGGCTATTTACCTGCTACATTTTCCCTTCATGATGGTGGCCAGGGAATTGAGAGATAATAGAGGAGAAGGAAAATAATAACGGGATAATAAAAGGCACAAGATGAAGGCAATGAAGTAAAAACAGAAGTCTTTCTTTTATCCAGAAATGAAAAATAAAATGCAGAACTTATAAGTAAATCAAATAGATTCTTTAGAAGCCGATCTGATGGTGTGAGGTATGATCCTACGTATGTCTTGAAAAGAAAAAAACAATAAAATCAATGAGTTCCTCTGTAAGTGCATAAACAGGGGTTAGTGTGATGCAACTTCTGCATATAAGCTGGGAGCCAATTAGAGATTTACATAACACAAACATCTAAGCATCAAAATATTTAATTTATCATATGCAAATTTATGTAAATATAAATACTAAAGAGATATTGCAGAGCTACAGACTGTAATACACAACAAATCTATTAGAGGCAGGGGTTAATACATAGCTTTTATTGCTGTTAATTTGTTAAGGACTGTTGCTTACCAATCATCAATTAAGATTAATAGTTATTTCAGTTAACAAATTACTATAATTCCCAGGTTTATTACATGCTTCTTTGAAGCAAAAAAAGGGGGGGAAATTCCTATATAAAAAAATAACAAAACAGATCTTCTTCTCTTCTAGTTTCATTCAGACGGAGATGCGTAGTTTATCATCTTAAATGGTTACTAGCGCACAAAACGCACAGCAGCTGGCACTAAATAAAACACAATTCTTGAGCTATACATACCTTGTAACTCACTCTGCAACTTTTCAATTGTTTTTCTTAGTCTATCAATTTCTTGATTGGCTTGATCTAAATTATCCAGGCGTTCTTTCTGAGCCTTGGAATACATATTGTGCGAGCTAGAATCTAAATCTGGTCCCTCTTTCAAAGTCATTTCTCTGTAACACAAAATGGAAAACTTGATTATTGAGCATCGTTTATTTTCATGCAATCACACACACTATGTCACCACGCATATGCACTACCATATACTCAAGCCCCCAATTTGTGTATAAACATTATTTAAACTTTTCAGAGTATCAGTAAAACTAATGACAAGGTGGTTTGTCATGATCTTTTTTTTTTTTTATCTTTATTTATTTTTGTTTTGATGCATTTTTCCCATTATTAGGATTCCTGTAAGGCTCCCATGTTCTTGTAATTACCAACCATCTTTATTTGCACTGACAAACATAACAATCGCTATTAGTGCTAATAAGCTACTACGTCTGTGGTGTAAGCTCGTAGTCACATCTGACAAGCAGTGTATAATGTAAACAATAACCTTTCCTGCTTATAGTTGTCATGATCCTTATAAGAGCCTTCCCACTCCTTGTTAGTGTCCTCTTTGGCACCAAAACGTTCTCGGAGGTCATTACATTCCTTAATTGCCTTATCACGGTCGTGAAGAGATGCTGCAATTTCCCTCTTGAGCATTTCTATTTGAAGAAGAAGTGATTCCCGCTGTAGGCATAAAGGGAGCATTAAGAAACTAAGGGATGATAGAGACAGTAAGAAGGGCTTACATGCAAAAATTATGTCAAGAATTTTTACAAGAACCAAGTACAACAAAAGCATATACCAAAAATAATTGTAAAATACTTTCACTGTAAGTATTTAATGACTTTTATCACAATAAAATAAAAGCAACTAAAATAAACAAACTAAATCTGATCAAATTAACTAAATTTTAAAATAAAAAAGAAACGTGGGACAAAGAGCATGAGAAGGAAAGGAAGACACAAAAAAAAAGATGATAATAATAATAATAATAATTTAAGAAAAGTAAAAATACTAGAGAAAGTGAGAGGGATAACTCTTCCTGAATCAATTTTGAGATTAGTACTTTCCAGATTGATCTTGGAGCTGGAGAACGTGACCAGACGCATCGCATTATTAGTAGTTGCTTTTATATCTTAACGATAAGGGAATCACCTCTTTCGTTGAGTCATTAGTGCTCTGTTCAATTGTCTTGATCTTTTTACTGGCCTGAGAGAGTTCCTCCTGCAGCTTGTCCATTTCCTTGTGCACAGTGTCACGTTCACTCATTACTAATGTGTATTCTTGCATCGCTGCATTCCTCTCCTC